GAATGCATGTTGTAAAGACCTGCTAAACCAGCCAGTCTGTCCTTACTTTATTCAGGAGGAAAAAAAGTTTATAAACGTAATACTGGTAGGGTGGAACAATTCTAGTTCAGTACATATGGGAGGGAGCATAGTTACAAATACTGAATGAAATTCAGTATCTGCGCAATTAGACCAAGGTTGAGAATTTACAAACTGACATTTTGCAAATAACCATTTATTCTGAGATTTGACTAAGTAAAGGATTTATCAATACATGTAGGCTTCAAAAATGCAGTCTTGGTTGAACATTTGGATTTTTAAGACCAAAGGTTCATCCAATGTGCTCTTAATGGCACCAGGAATGTTGGAAATCGCTTGGGTTTTTTTCCTAAACGTGGCTATAACAATGACAGATTGGAGATTGATGTGTTTTGGTATGCAGTTTAGATTAGTAAAGTCCAAGAACCATTTTCAAAGTGAACACTGAATTTCATGGTTGAATTATATCAATATGTGCAATATATAAGTAGATAATATGTACCTTAGGAAATTTGATAAATAAGTTTGTGAACAGTTACTCCACTTTTTTAAATGTCTATTTGTTTCTGCATATCTGTGATTTAAGGCTAAAGGTTACTTCAGAATTTAATTTTAAATGTTACATGTGCATTTTAGTATGGATACAGGGGAAAAATTTAGTGTACACGGTTCTATTGGTTAACTCTGTGGCCTGAAAAAACTTCTTAATGACATGATTACAGTTTGAAATCTCCTTAGACTTTGCTTGAAGTAGTCGATCGAAAAGTATGATTAATGTACATTTCATGTCCTGTGACTAACGGTGAAAAGGGATTCTGCTATATTATTGATTATTTCTAGGTAAAAAGATGGAATATATAGAAGATTTAAAAAAAAAAATGCAGAAGCAATTACATGATTCTGATTTTCAGATAAAACCCATAGTTGCTTTCTAATTCTATTTTTCAGTTTCCATAGCTAGACGTGTCCAAGACCCATTAGCTGAGCTAGTGAAAATTGAGCCCAAACACATAGGAGTTGGAATGTATCAGGTAAGATAATACATATCATTTAATCTAAGTAATCTATCATGATATAGAGCAACACCAAAATGCTGCTTTGTAATTGTCAGCTGGTTATATCTCCTTTAAAGGACATTTGTAGAGTTGATAGAATGGTAGTAAATACTTAGAAGCCATAGACTGCCCTTCTTTTAATCGCTACTTTTAACGATTGTGATTGAGAGTCTGAAATGGCTGTAGCCAGATTTATAGTCTATTAAAAACATCAAATCAGACAGGTAACCTGATCTGTAAAGCTTTCTCTTTTTTGATATTGTTACAGCAATGGGATTTTAGCTCTTTGTGTAAAATACAATGAGATATTGATCCTCCATTTAGAAACCATTAATTTGTACTGTTATGTGCATGCCTTCTTAGTTTGTAATAAAAGCATTTGTTTTGAAGTTTTTCACTTACTAAAGCTGAATTGGAAAATGTTTGACAATTCTTATTTTTATACATATTTGTAAGTTATTTCTGAGAAGTAACTTTTACCTTTTAAAGTGTCTTTACAAAGTGAATGGTATTGAGAAGGTGTATGTAAGTTACTGTCATTTTTAAGGCGTATTGGCATCCATTCAGGAAAGCATTTATGCATGTGCTTAAGTCCCACCAAATAGAGAAGTAAAAAGAAAAAAAAAAAATTCAGCAAGTGCTTTTCTCTCTATTTTTGAAACTATAGAATGTGAGTAAAATTGAAAGGTTGGAACAGAATTCAGAACAGGAAGCACGGAACTGTCTGGACCTGTGCTTTCAGGTTAGCTCAGGAGAGTTAATGGGATAGAATGCAATTAGCAGCCTAGAATCCTTTGCTGCCATTGCTAAAGCTGGTGCGACAAAGAAAGGTGTTATGAAAAATTTCAAAGAAGTTTATATCCCGTTTTGTTTTTTTTTTTTTTTTTAAGAACTGAGGTCAACATTGTAGTTGGTTAAGGTAGCACTCAGTACTGCTTTTGCAAGCCCTATTTGTATCGTCACAGACTGTAAAATGCACTCATGTTGCTTCCTAACTTCAAAGTGTATCAGTAAAACTAACTTATAATTAATGTTTCAGTATGAATTATACCATATTTTTTGAGGAAAATTAGATTGAAGGCCTGAAATACTGTAGAATTCTTTAAGGTATGTATCCAGATTTCAGTAAAAATGTGCTTTAGAGATGACAGCTATAAATTAGGGGGTGGTCATGTGACAAAAAGAGGAACTTCCATCTGAAGCATAGTTGATTTCTTTACTTGTGGAGACCCACTGCTTTTATTTACAACAGTAGCAGCAATAGCAACAATAATGAAAAGTGGTACAGATTTTTCTTGGTCCTTGCTGTAAGGAAAAAAAGTGGTTTGTTTCTTTAAAGTGTTGAAATGCTGCATCAGCACTTCAAGAAGAAGTTGGTTGCTTTTTTTTTTAACAAAATTTTTAGAAATGGAATATTTTACTCTTTGAAGTATACTGTGAATTTGCAAGTATTAGGAACTTGCATCACTGTGGCCAGAAGGTATTCGTTACATGCATGCTATCTACTATGGTCCATGTGCACATTGTACAAGCACACATCTAAAGCAGAACGCTACAGAGTTGGTGGTGGTTGTATGGTTTTGGGAGCATGATATTGTCGGACAAATGTTGCGATGAACACACTGCAACAGTTCGCTACCGCCTCAATTGCTGAAGCTGGCATCACTTACTCTGCGCTGAAATGGAGCAGGGTAAGTACCATGTTCCTGGCCCTTTCAGGGAACTTTCTTGATCCACTAGGTCCACTTTTACAGGCAAACACCCAACTGCATTATTTTTTCATGTCCAAATTGGTTCTGTGAAACGTTTCAGAGGAATAACTCCTAAAGGCCCTCGTAAAGATAGACCTCAAAATTTGTTGTTTACCACCTATCTGGACTTTAAGGTCTCATCATGGTTTGGACAAATCCTCCGAGATAGACGTCGACCTCCTCAGAATTCTTAATGACGACTGCAGAAGCGATAAGGTGCCTGTTCAAAGATATAGAAATTTCTGAGGTACTAGAACTTTATGTGACACTATTGACACCAAATCTGCACTCCTGAGAACAAAGTCAGAAGCTCGGCAGCCCTTTGAGTGTGAGTGCTTTCTCGTGACAGGGGAGGGGAGGAGAAGAGGAATTAAGCTGTTACGGCTGGGCATGGTGGTGTTGGGTTGGGGGCTGAACTTGATGATCTTGATGGTCTTTTGCAGCCTTAATGCTTCTGTGATCCTGTGACTGGTCTTCCTTCAGAGTGAACAGTCACTTGCTGGCATCTCAGAGGGCGGCCACAGGAAAAGCTGTTGTGTCATGCAGGGAGTCCCAGAGTAATAACTGATGTCATCCCTCAGATAGAGAGTAGGTCAGGTACAGATTTTTATATTATCCAAGTCAATTTGAAAAGTTATGTTATGCTTTAATTTATAACCTAATAGCTAGCTGTAGCCTTTTATTAATTTCTGGGATCAAACATGCAATGTGCAGTTGAGATAAAAAAAATAACAAACTTTTCACAGAGAAAGTTACTTCCTTAGCCCACTGTAACTATAAACCTAGCATTCAGGTATGGCCTGTCCTTTCTTAAACACCTCGAAATTGATATTGAGGAATGTGACAAATACAGGTTTTGGCATTCTTGTCTGGAAGGACAGACAGTGGTTAGTCCTGCACTTGGCTTCTGCCTCTTGAGGCAGAGGCAGGCTGAGGCTGTGTGTGGCTGTGGAAGCCGTATAGCATAAGCAATGGTGGTTTCTTGAGGGATGGTTGCATGCTCACTGTGTGTTGATCAAAGTGCGAGCTCCCTGAAGGAGTGGTTCTGCCTTTTCTGCGACTTACCAGCCCAAGTGCTGGTAATGGCTACCTGGGGTCCTGGG